AATGCTTTCGTTTGTTCATTGTAACGTTGGATTGTTGCAACTACATCATCATCAGATTTCCTAGATTTCCTTGGATCCATCCTTTCAGTGGTTAGAGCTTGGATCAAATACCAGAATGGGGTCTTTTAAAGCTCTTCAAGTTGGTTTGAATTGGATTTAAGTGTTTGAAAAAATGAGACAATAGATGAGAGGTTGGATCGGCATTGAATGCTTTAATGAGCTTTCTTTCTTTGGAGTTTAATAGATTTTTTCCCTATTGAGCTTGAGTTTTTGAAGTTGGGGTATTCGTCTTGATGCTAGTTGTTTCATTACCTTGGATTTGTGTGTTTTGGCAAGGAGTTTGTGGTGTTTTGCTGCTTTTTTATCTTAGATCATAAGAAGACTGAGAGAGTTTTTATTTCTTGTTCGGTGTTTGTGGCGTTTTGCTGCTTTTACGTTTTGCCATTTCTAGACAATGATGAAAACATAAAGATGTCAACATCAAATCCCAAAGAAAATTGAACATGCTAGAGAAAATTAGATATGTCAGAGAAAATTACATATAAAGGAGAAAACTTAGGTGGCCAGGGAAAATTATAAACGTCAAAGAAAATTAGACACTAAAAATTATATGTCAGAGTACTAATTGTTTTCCTGTGGAATACATCTAGCCACAGAAAATTTCCATTCCTAGAAAAAATCAACAAAGCAACATAAACATGCCAGAGAAATTTTTAATAATTGTTAAAATTACATATAGAAGTAAAATATAGCCAGAAAAAATTCAAAAAAGAAACATATATCTAGCAAGCATAGAAAATGAATATAATAGAGAAAAGTAAACATGGCAAGCCAAAGAAAATTTACATTCCACAATTAGCAAGATAAAATAAACAAAACAACGTAAACATGCCACAGAAAATTACACAACATTGAAACCAAGAATTGAACAAAATAAACAACCCAGAGAAAATTGAACATAGTAGACAAACACAAGGGAGAAAATTAATGTAGGCAGAGAAAATTATAAATTCCAGAGAAACTTAGACACTGACAAGAGAATACTAGGTGTTTTCGTGTGGAATACATGTGGCCACAGCTAATTTTCATTCCCAGAGAAAATAACCAAAGCAACATAAATATGATAGAGAAATTTTCAAAAATTGCTACAAATTACATATAGATGTAAAATATAGTTAGAGAAAATTCAAGAAAGAACATAAACCTAGCAAGCACAGAAAATGAAAATGCCAGAGACAATTACACATTCCAGAGAAAATTTCTAGTCCATAATATTAAAATGTCAGAGAAAATTAAACATGATAGATACACACAGGGAGAAAAGTGATGTGACCAGAGAAAATTATAAATGCCAGAGAAACTTAGGCACAGACAAGAGAGTAATAATACATATAGATGTAAAATATAGCCATATAAAATTCAAAAAAGAAACATAAATTTAGCAGGCACAGAAATGAAAATGCCTGGGAAAATTACACATTCCAGAGAAAAATAGACATTCCAGAGAAATTTACAGACAAAATCACACAAACATGTTCAAGAATAAGATCAAAACACAGAAATCACATTTTCCAAAATAAACACGCCAAAGAAATTTCAAAAAAGAAACATACATCAAGCAAATACCGGAGAAATTCAAATGCCAGAGAAATTTACAGATAAAATCACATAAACATGTTCAAGAATAATTTCAAAACACAGTGAAATAACTTTTTTCAAATTTATGTAGCTTTTTATTACGAAATTCAAACCCTAATTGATGGAAGGTTAATATAAAGGCAATTAACTGTGTTTCTAGAGAAAAACTTGTGGGATTGTAGAAAAATTTAGCAGAGTTAGGATGAAACGCTAATTACAAACTGATATTGTGATAACTGGGTATGCTTTTTGTCTTGTTCCTTTTGAGTCATGATCGAATTTACTCATGCTATAATATAGAGTTTTTATGCGAAGCCTTGTTAACCGTTAGGTTCGTTGTTTTTGAAAGCTTATCATCAAATTCTCGTTCTTATTTACATTGATTCCAAGTTTTACTTGCTTCAGGAGGTACGCGGTTGGATCCGGGATGTCTAGAGTTGAGTTGTTAGAATTTCTCTATCTGGAAACAGGGCCACACGTACGGGGGTGAGAGCCGCACGTGCGGGAGAAGGGCCATACGTGCGGGAAGGGAGACTGCACATGCGGTGACAGAGGAGTTTTTTGGGTTTGGCTATTACAATATATGCAGGTGTGGAAGGAAGTGCAGGGGAGGCACCGCACGTGCGGGGGATCAATGCCGCACATGTGGGACGGGCCTGGGTCCGAAAACTCTTTCTTTCTTTCTTTTGGACTGTGTATATCACTTTTATACATTTCCTTCTCACTCTAAAATCATTTTTTCTCCTCATTCTCTCTAAAACCTCCACCAAACACCAAAAACTCTTGATTTCTTGCAATCCTTTAGGTTTTGATCTTTGTTCCTTCGTCAAAGTTGGATAATTTCTTGGGGGCTACGTTTTGTGCGATGGAGATCAAGTTTCAACACCATTGAATTTGAAGGTTTCATCTTTTTTCCTCTCCAAGCTTGAGGTAGGGGATTTCTTAGAATTATATATATATTTTTGCAAGATTTTGGTTGAATTTTCAGAATTTCTCTTGTAAATTTTGAAACTTGTTGGTTGGCTCAACAATGTGGGTAGTTTTGGAGTAGATTTGGTTTCATGTTTCTTTTGAAATAATTTCTTGAGAGCCTTGAAACTACATTGATTGAGGAAGAGTTATTTTTGAAGAAATTCTTACAAGTGATTTGGGTGTGTGTGTTATTGTAGTGAGAAAAACCTAGAATTTAGGGGTTTTTAAAATATGTTGAGAATACATGGTTGACATTGTATAAATACTATTTTGTGTGCCAAAAAGAGTAAAGGATGAGGAAATTTCTTATATATATATATATATATGGTGAGTTTCATGAACAATGAAAATGTGTTGATATTGGAAGTTGTTGTCCAAATGTTGTTTTAGTCTTGAAATGATTGTTATTTTTGATGAACTTGGATAGATAGATGGTTATCTTGTGAAATCACCTTGGAAATGAGGAAATTGGTGATATGGATCTTCATGGTTGGATCATGGGATGGAATTGTAAATGAAAGGGATATTGCATTGCATTGATGATTGTTGTATTCTCATCTCAATTCATTTGATTATGGTAAATTTTGATTATTGGATTTAAAAACTTTTGCATTGAGAAAAGCATGTTGTGAAATAAGTTTTCATGGAATTGTTTTGGGGTAAATACGTTGATAAGTCCGGATAGGAGGTGTAGATGAAATTGATTAAGTTGGCCTGAGTGTCCGGGGTGAAAGACCGAAAACACGCGCAGAGGAGGTACCACTTCCCTTCCGGTTAGCAACCGGTAAAGTGAGGTTTTGGGTAGTGCTAGTTATGCCTACTTGCAGATACCAACTGGGGGATTACCTGAGTCATATTTACCGCCCCTTGAACTATAATTTTTGAATTGTTGAGATTTTAAGTTATCATTGAGCATATTTTTTTTTTTTTTTAAAAAAAAAGAGACATAAAATGTGACTTTTCTTCAAAGGCTTGACATGGCATGGCATTTGCATTTCATTTGATAAAGTTTGCGTAAAATATATATACTTTGTTAAAAGTTTCCTACTGGGCTTTATGCTCACCCTATGATATTTTGGTGCAGCAAAAGACGTGGTGGACCCCTCAAACTAGGGCGTGAATGTATGTAATGAGAGCACAAAGTTTTATATTTTGTTGTAATTGTATTTTTGCAAGCCAAGGGCTAACTGTGTATGGGTTTGATAAACCATTTTTTGTGTAGCCAGGCTTAAGCCTTGGAATCTGTAAGCCTTTGAGGGCATTTAATTATTTATTTTTGGATTGAATATCCTACATGCTATAGAATCATGTATTAGGGATCATTGAATGTGTACCTGCATGTGGGATTATTTTGTATGAACCTCATGATCATGTAATGCAAAGGTTGGAAAAATACTCTTTTCTGATAATGGGCGTTGGTTGATGTACTTTAATGGTGTTATAATTTTTGGGGCGTTACAGATTTGCCCTAAGATGAAGATGCAATGTGACAAAGATGAACTGAGATGACGATGAACAGTGAAAACGGGGTCAGAGAAATTTATAAGGAAATAATGGGAAAGATTTTTTCTGGGGGCGTTACAAATATACCCTGAGATGAAGATGCAATGTGACGAAGATGAACTGAGATGACGATGAACAGTGAAAACGGGGTCAAAGAAATTTGTGAGGAATGAATGGGAAAGATTTTTGTAGAAGATAATGAAACTCTAATGTCGATCGTGAAGATGATATTGAAACCCTAATTCTGTTGTTCTCTTGCTCGTGAAGATGGTTGGATGTTTGGAATGGAACTCAGACGTCGGAATCCAGTTTAGTTTCTGTGTTGATTTGTGAAGGGTATTTTGGTCCATGAAATAATTAAAAATACGTGCGATATAATTGAGGGACCTGATGCATCAACCCTTTTTTTGGTATCCTTTATCTTCTAAATTACTATTATTAGGGACCTTAAAAAAAATTGCCCAAAAAACATACCTTAGCATTATGAATTTTGATTAATTATTTTGACATTATTATTTTTGAATCCATAATGAGAAAGTTCTTAAAAACTTAGTAGTTTTTATCTTTGAGTAATTGCGAAATTTCGCAATAACTATAAAAAACTAAAATTTCACAATTTTTGTGCAGCAACTAAATTTTTATAAAAGCTTAAAAATTTCTCATTTTTATATTTGAGAAATTGTGAAGTTTTGAAGGGGGAAAAAAAACAATTTTTATAACCTGAAAGTTCAGTTTTCCACAAGAAAAATTCTTAGATTTTTTTTCTTCAAATTTTTTGTCACGCCCTAAACTCGCCCCTAAAAGTTCGGGCATGACCTATGCAGAAATGGACACTTAACCTGATATACATACTATATGGGGCCTGAACGAAAGCATTTAATATTACAAAATAACATAGAATAACATCCACTGAGCTAAAACTAACATGCCAGGATCACATACGTGAGAGCTTTATATCTAAATACATACCCATATACATAATTGAGCGTATAACCGAGCATTGGTAAAGAAAGGGGTTACATACATACATCTTCACCTTAAATAAATAATTAAAGTGCAAACTAAAATTTTTAACAAAACTTCACATAAATGCATGAGCTTGGTTTAGGAGCCTGGGCATACTGAGGTTGACAACTGAAGGGTGAGCATTAAAGGTTAAGACGGACTCCCAAAGTGATTACCTACAGAATAAACATGACACAAAGTGAGTGAGGCTCAGTGAATAATAGTACATAACAATTCAATACTCAACTTGAATTATAAAACATTTCAATGCATACATAAATAAAAGGACATAAGGTTAATTGATTTTGTACTAATTTCATAACGGCCTTAGGCTTAGTGTTGAAACATAATATCTTGAAACATAGCGGCTTGAAGCCCTTGTACAGAGTGGCATAAGCCCTTGAATGTAGTAGCATGGCATATAGCCCTTGAACTTATGGCATGAAGCCCTTAAACATGTTGGCATTGAGCCTTTGAACGTATCGACATTAAGCCTTTAAATATATTGGCAATAAGCCCTTGAAAGGTTGGCATAAAGCCCTTGAAAAGTTGGCATGAAGCCCTTGAAGGATTGGCATTAAGCCCTTGAAAAGTTGGCATGAAGCCCTTGAAAGATTGGCATTAAGCCCTTGAAAAGTTGGCATGAAGCCCTTGAAGGATTGGCATTAAGCCCTTGAAAAGTTGGCATGTAGCCCTTGAAAGATTGGCATTAAGCCCTTGAAAAGTTGGCATAAAGCCTATGAAAGATTGTATGAATTCAAGAGGTGTCTCACATGGACTCTAGAGGTGGCTCACAATGTAGCACTTAGTTCCAAGTAGCACTTTGGTCCATACCAGTAATTAATAGGTCTTATAGACCAAACCATTCATATCATGTCATACCATAAACGGAAACAAATTCATGCATATGCATTATACCTGAATCATAAACAGAAATCGGAATTCATACTTGATTATACTTGGTACTTCGATAGTGCTAACAAATCAATATAAAGCATACTTGTTAATTCCATGAGGGGAATCCCCCGATACTGAGAACTTATAACATACGTAAAATTGTAACATACTTGAAAACATACCTGAAAACATACTTGAACTTGTAACATACTTGAAAACATACTTGAACTTGTAACATACTTGAAAACACGGTATTATTACCCCCGGGTAAGGGTCGTGTGCTACGGATGTCATGAATACTTTACATATATGGCCAACTGTTCATTAATTCAAAACGTAACATATTAGAACATAGAACATTTCTTGTTATATCATGTCATTACAGTACACTTAGCAAAGACAGAACAGGTTACATCATAATGTGGGTTACATGACAAGGTCATCGATATTTAATTCTGTCTTTAGGTTGAGCCATCCATAAGTCAATCCGTTGTTTATCATAATACTTAGCAGGTATTAACGTATAAAATAATCCGTGGTCTTAGCTAATTATTCATTAAGAATGGCGTAGTTCACTTGATCTATTCATCGGTAGCATATAGAAGCATACACCTTTGTTTGATCGTTTATATATGTTAACATAGTTGACTTAAGTTTAACAGGACATTCCTGATAATTATTAACAAAAAGGTAAGCACATTTTACCGATTGAATGTGTTTAGAGATACGTGGATACCATAGTTCCATATTGCTTATACGTTCCATTTGTTCGTAAGCTATCTTGTAAATAACAGAATGTTAGTATTCATCGTCAACAGTAAACAGAATGTACTGCTCACTAATGCCTCTAGATTTCCCAATCAACATAATGTTAACTTAATTTCTTGCATGGAACATAATCTTAACAATGAAAATCATTAACGATAATTGAACGTACCACTATAGTACTACTACTCACAGTGCTACAACGGAGTGCTTGTCCCTCCTGAAGTGTGCCCTGTACACATATATAACTTAGTCATTAGTTCCTTTTTCTTTCCTTCGTTATTCTTCACAAGCCCACCATTAAGCATCCATTTATACCACAATTTCCTCCATCTCAATATATATATAAATAGAAGATTACCATTCTTGCAAACACAGTATGGAATTTATAATCAATCACTTCGATTTCAAGATAGAAAGGAATTGTATGGACATCTTCCACATTTTTCCAAAAATCCCTGAATGTCTAGGGTTTTCACCAAAAACCAAACATTTCCTATCTCCATAAAGAAACTCCATTAAATCATTCTCTTGATTTTAATAACTAAGCAAGCCCACAAGTATTTAGCAAAATAATTTGGGATTAAACCCATTTCGGAAAACTCTACATTTTAGGTCACAAAAATCAAAATCAACATAGTCAATACCATCCCACATAATCACCACAATTCAATATGAACAACATTATTCAACTCAACATCATTAAATATAATTCAACATAATTCAAGAGGAATTCTTAAATCCCATTTTCACATTCTATAACCGAGTTTATGCCATTTATATCATTAACAAATCATTTCCCCCAATTTCCTTTCTCATTATAACATGATTTACATTGCTCATAACAAAGTTCATTTGCAAATTTTAAACATAATTTTCAAACATAATCAAATTCCAATTAAACTTGTGCATATATAATTCAACCTACCAATTTCATAATTCAACTCTCAATTTGGGCTAAATCATTGATTATCATCAAAAATCAACCTAGGGTTTCAAGAAAAATCTAGAAATTTCAAGAACAATCCAAATTTCTTAACCCACTTCTTTTTGTTCCAATCTTCCCATTTATTATACACCCTAGGTCCATCATCCATAAACCATAATCTAAACCCAATAATAGAACCCCTACCTCAAGAATCAAACAAGGGAGCAAGCTTAATGAGATTCCTCCAAAATTTCGAAATCCAATCGGTAGAAAATGTTAATCTTCTCTTGTTCTCCATCCTTGATGCAAGATTCATGTTGGATTTGTTGATAAAAGTGGAGGAAATCAAGGTTTGGGGAGCTAGGGTTTCGGACATGGAGGAGGGGAGAAGAAGAGAGGAAAAGAAAATGTAAGAAATGGTCCAAAAATCACGTTTTTGAGCTGCTGTCCCGCACAGTCCCGCACAGTCCCGGATCTGCTTCCAGCACAGATGTGAAAACTTCAAACGAGTATAACTCTCTCATCGGGACTCTGTTCTAGGTCGTTCTTGTGTCCAAATTGAAGCCCCAGAAACAAGCTTTCCAATGGTTCCAACCTCACATTCAAATTCTAAGTATGGAAGGAGAAAAGGGCAAAAGAGTGATGGCTGGTCAAAAACTCAAACTCAAACTCAAACTTTGGACTTTTTATCTAATCTTATCTATATTTCTTGTTAAGGCTTCAATCAAGGTTCCAACATCATCCAAGGGTCCTCAATTATAATATTTAAAGTTCACTTGCCAACCCATCAATATCAAGAGTCCGACAACCATATAAGTTTTAAGGTGACAACCACTACTATACATCAATCCGATGTGAATTTAAAATCTGAGTCGTTATATTTTATATTAAATATATAACTTATTTAATAAATCTCATCAAATAGGTGTTACAAATATAACTTTTATATAATAATAAAAAAAAATAGAAGTGTTGTGAAAATTAGAAATTTTAAGATTTTAAAACAAAAAATAACTTCTTAGAACATCAATTAGGCTATTTATACAAGAAAAAGTTGTAAATCAGTGATAACTTAATAAAACATATATATAAATTTATGAAAAAAATTATAGTGTTATTCTAAAAAAATAAGATAAATTACACTCACTTCCTTTAAGGATTGAAAAAAATATAGTTACCATTGTATTTTTAACATAATTGCACTGATCTTTTTTAAAATTGTAATTCAAATAACACTTATGTTTTTTCTCATCATAATTCTCTAGTGGTATGAATAAAAAAAACAATATTATAATCTCTTTTCTAATAAATGTATATTTATCTTCGTTTATTTTATTATTTACTTATCATTATATTAATTTCAATCTCTTTAAACGTATTGAACAAACATTAATATAATTATGTCAAAAATATAAAGTAACTATATTTTTCAAAATCTCAAACGTGATTAGTATAATTTATCCCAAAAAAAAAAAAAACTATTACTAGGGATTAAAAAACAAAAACCTATAATTATACTACGGATCAATCGCTCTTTGCACATAGGGGCGTTTTGGCAACATAGTAAAAAGTTAATTTTTTAATTTTTTAACTTTTTTAAATCACATCATTTCTCTATTTTTTTATTACAAAAAATTCAAAAAGTCACACATAAAAAAAATCAAAAAATTAACTTTTTACAAACTTTTCAAAACACCATAATCGATTGGGGTCCTGTCATGGCAATCCACGCTCTTCAATTGACCTGTTTGTTTGGTAGCATTAGGTTATAAAAAAAAAACAACAATGATTGAGACCACTAATTTTAGAGTTCTAAAAAGACCACTAATAACATGGCACTCAATAAAAAAAAACTCATTAAAAGCCTGAAAATTAACCATTCTCAAACAGAGTACCTCAATCTGTTTCAAATTATTTGTCCTTATACAATGATGGAATTTTCTTTTTAAAAAAGACAAAGTTGGAAACTTAAAATAATATATTTTTGTACTAAATTCTTTTATTTATTAATAGATTTAAATTTTTATTGAGCAAATTATAAATAGGTGGAACCATAACAAAATAATTGCATTACAAATAGAAATATTTTTTTTGTACAAACACATGAAAGACTTGCACCAAGTATGAAAATCAACTTGTATCATGCATATGGGACACCTGCACCATCATGAAAATATAAACATTTCTTTACCACTCCACTAAAATTCAATTTTTCTCATTTTTATTTTTTTGTTCTGGACAAACAGTTTCAAACAAAAATAATAGGTAAAATTACAAATGCACCCTTGAAGTTTAATTAAAATAAGGATTGTCCCTTATGTCTTTGGAAATTATGTATATTCCATTGTCAGATTTTTTTTATTTAACAAAATTAACAAAAAAAAATTTAAAATTTCTAACCACTCTCATTTCTAACAATAAAATTATTTAAATTATTAATTAAAATATTTTTATGATATCATTAAAATAATTAATTGATTTGATAATTTATTAATAAAATTGATGGTTTATTATATAATAAAAATTGAAAAAATGTAATTTCCATAAGCACAAATGACAATTCATATTTTAAGAAATGGATTGGACTGTCTCCGGTCCATAATTAGACTAGACAATCCAATCCAGCCCAATGAGCTCATTTTTGGATCTCGTTTCGATTATCTGAACCATTCTCATTTTGGGGTATGTCGAATACATTATATCTATAAAAAATCAAGTCGATCGGATAACGAAAATTATATATTTGAATCAATTTTGTATGAACCATTCATTTTCTCACTGTCATTTTTTTATACAAAATGATCCAAACATATAATTTCTGTTATCCGATCGACTTTATTTTTTGCAAGAATAATGTACTCGACAAATCTTAAAATGTGAACGATTTGAATTATCAAAATGAGATCCAAGATTAGGCCCCAAAGGCTCAACAACACCTCTCTAATCCAACAAAGGACACGAGAGAAGCCATGACCTTCAAGCAAAGCTCATTGTTTTAATTTTTCTTGAAAACCCTAAGTTGATTCATGATGATAATTAATGATTTTGCCCAAATTGAAAGTAGAATCATGAAATTGAGAGGCTGAATTGTATATGTACAAGTTTAATTGAATTTTGAAAGTGTTTGAAAATTATGTTAGAAATTAACGATTGAACCTTTATTTTGGGTATTGTAAATCATGTTATAATATGAAATGAAATTTTGGGAAAAAGATTCGTTAATGATATGGATGGCATGAGACTTGGGATGAAAAGATGAAATGAGGATTTAAGAGTTCACATTGAATTATGTTGAATTACATTTAGTGGTGTTAAATTGAAGCATGTTGAATAGTGTCGATTATGTTGAATTGCGTTGATTATGTTGGATTGTTTTGACTATGTTGAATTGTGTTGAACTAAGTTGAGTTGTGTTGGATTGTGTTGAGTTTGGGTTGATAGTTGGAAAAAATGGGAGTTTTGCTCTAATTGGATCAAATTGTTATTTTGTATAAATTATTAAAATTGTCATTGTAAATGTGAAATCGGAAGATTATTAATGATGATGGTGGAGCTTGATATGTATTATCACTCCCAGTTGAGATTTTGGAAAAAGCATATCTTTAAAGGAATTTATGTATTGGTTTAGATATATTTGTTTTGGGCTATCGGTGGATGATAGCTATGATTGTTATAGAAATTGCATGTTGACTAGGCAAACCAAACTATCTATAAATCATGCATATCATGGAGAATGCAATGGATTTTGAGGATTTAAACTATATGTTTTGGAAAGAGATTTTGGAAATTCTTGTGATATGTTTTAAGTGCATTTGTTTCATTTGAAAATCATATTTTGGAACACATGTATTGTGCTACTTGAAATGAGTAAATAATATAATAAGTCTGAGAAATGGTTGTCATTGAATATGACTGTGTGTTTTAATACATTGTATATGTATGATTGTTTGGGAGAAGAAAGGGGATGTACTTTATGTGTGATTGTGTGATTAAATACATTGTATATGTATGTTTGTTTGGGAGAAGAAATGGGATGAACTCCACTGTTTGGGAGGAGAAAGGGGATGGACTCCATTATAACTAAGTTGGCCGGAGTGTCCTGGGTGAAAGTCCCGAAATTTATACATGGGTGCCGATCCTGCAGATGAAATATCCATAAAATGGCAGTTTGAAGTGTTTATATGTGTTTTGTATGATTCGAAAATCACTGAGTTGTAGTCTCAGTTTGGTTGTTATGAAATAATGAAATTGACTCATGAATTGAGAAGAATAAATGAATTGAAAATGAACTGAAGGAAAATGGACTTAGGATTGAAATTGGCATCATGTGGGTAATTGGATTAGGGGCTAGTGATGATGAACTCAATGGATTGTTTGTGGCAAAAGGGAAGATTATGAGTTTTGTTTTGTAAGTAATTGAGAAATTGAATTAAAAAGGGGTTTGTAATTCTTGTGTTATGTTGAACCCTAATCATTTGGATTTTGATGTTATGAAGTATGGTAATTGGAAATGGAAATGAAATGTATAATATTAGAATGGAAATGAAATGTGAAATATTAAAATGGAAACGAAATGAGAAATAATTTAGAATCGGGTTTATAAATTTAAGATGATGTTCTTCTTTAAGTGTACTTGTTTTCAAAGAGAATTTATGGCTTCCTAATGATGAGAGACTACATTTATGGCGGGAAGTTTTCTTAAATATTCAAGAGAAATTTTAAGAAAAGATACTTTTCGTGTAATATTTTGAACTTAAAAAATGTCACCTTACTATATGGTATCACTCTGCATCCATGATCATTTGTATGTATGTGTTAGCTATTGTTGTAGAACTATGAGATTCTTACTGGGCATTAGTACTCACCCCTCATTGTTTCATTCTTTTTCAGGAAAAGAATTTCGGATTCATTAGTTGAAGAGTATGGATTCCATGTACCTTTTTGTATGAATTTTAGCATAGATGTTAAAGGAATGAAAAATGCATCATGTGGCTTGTAATTATTTATTTGTAGCTTCGTGGCAGAAGCTTGGCATGTATTATTGCATTGTTGTTTTCAATGAGAGAGAGAACGTATATTATTATGTTTCTATCACCTAAGGGTAATAGATATAAAAAAAAAAAATGGACCTAAATTATAGGCTTTGGTAATATTTCCGATTAATTAAAATGTTGAGGCGTGACAAAAAATATATACAAAGAAATTAAATAAAAAGTTTTTAACTGTGCTTACATATATTAAAAAATGAGAAAACTTGAAAAACTAAATTCTTGAATTCTTTGACCATATTTTGCATCTCTCTCAGAAATTTCTGACCTGAAAAATGAAAACACAAATTAATTCAGAAACTGATAGAAGCATATGAATAAACTAACTATTTGTAGAGATTGTTCTAGTCTTACAAAAGATAAAGTCAGACCTTTTCTCATCACACTGACTCTTCATCTCCTGCATCAATAGAAAAAGAATAACCACTTCGATTGTTACTAGTATAAATGTTTAGATTATCATATAGATATGACATATACATAGAATGAATAAATCCAAAATGAAAATCTTAAATGCATGGCCAGATATTTTAAAGTCATAAAACCAAATATATATAGAATTAACAAATCCAAAATGAAATCTTGAAGTGATTATGTATTCCTCACCAATTAAAGAAATTGTTTATTAGCAATTTAAAGAACAGAAGTTATAGCATACTTACATGTTGGATTTCAACTTATATTCTTTAGGACGAAATTAATCCATTCAACTCTCACTTCATCAAGTTCGGTTTCTGTGCAAGTCTTTTTTTCCATTAAACTGTGAGAGGTTATTTAGAAACAATTAGATAATGAAGAAGATGTACAAGTATCATGAATATAATATAGTAATAAAAGTTAGAATTTATCTCACATTTTGTTTTCTTAGGATGCCTTGATCTCTAATGAGGTCTTTTATATACCTCATTACATAAAACTCACATTCCACGTTTGTGGGTTTTTGCGGGGACCACATGAAAGCATTTTCATTATTATTAGAAACTACATATAAAGTATTATGATCAAGCTAAACAAGCATTAGCATAAATATAAGTATGATAAAATTAGAGAAAATGATATTAATTACCTGAACTACTTTCCAAAATGGATTGGTCCTCCTCCTCTTTTGGGTAGTTTCATAAATTTTCAAAGCACTTTACAAGAGAAATTTCTGAAGTCAAAATATTTTTAGGGTAGCTCAAATTGCTGAAAAATGTATGAACCAGCCAAACTTACGTGTTTATTGCAATTTCAAGGGTTGTGTTTATTTTAGAATTAATTGGATCAAGCAAGTACACAAACATCAATGTTAGATCAATGACTAACAATATTCAATGGTACCTACAATTGAACAAGTCACAAGTATAAGCTTACTAAATTTAATATCCTTTGAACACATGAAATAAATAGTTTTAGATAATTACCCAATATTTGTTCTAGCAGAGCCTCCTCTAATTGAATTATCCTAATGGAGAAAAAAACTTAATGATTGATTGGATTAACTAAAGTACTTTTCAAAAATTGAAAATAGAAGATAAAAATGATGCATGAAAATTAAAGGTGAAGGATAAAATTAAGAATTGAATTTTTTTTAAAAAAAAAAGTAGATGATAGCAGATTTTGTATAAGCTAAGAAATTGAATTCAAAAAATTACTGTCACCTCTTGCATAAAATTAATAAGCTAAGAAAAGGAAAAAAATTCAATTTAACTAATTAAGTCTAAACATCTTCTATTATAGGGAATACTATATCTGGATGAGCTATTAGATTCAGATAAAAGATCTATAATGGGGCCCATTCCCAAGGCAGAGTAATTGTTCAAATTCCAAACACGATACTGCTCATATGTCATGAAATGTAATGCTGCATAGGGAACAATCCGAAGGACACTAGCTCCATTTCCTCTAAAAGAGAGAAGGACCACTCTACAAAACTAACATATAAAAGCATCATTTCCCAAAAAATAGAAAGCTAATCTAGAAACGAAATGAGCAATTATTGATCCAATGCTAGCAACGCTTTTCTAGTCCCAAAATGGGAAATACAAAATGCAAAGCTAAAATTGAAGGACCACTCTACAAAACTAACATATAAAAGCATCATTTCCCAAAAAATAGAAAGCTAATCTAGAAACGAAATGAGCAATTATTGATCCAATGCTAGCAACGCTTTTCTAGTCCCAAAATGGGAAATACAAAATGCAAAGCTAAAATTGAAGGACCACTCTACAAAACTAACATATAAAAGCATCATTTCCCAAAAAATAGAAAGCTAATCTAGAAACGAAATGAGCAATTATTGATCCAATGCTAGCAACGCTTTTCTAGTCCCAAAATGGGAAATACAAAATGCAAAGCTAAAATTGAAGGACCACTCTACAAAACTAACATATAAAAGCATCATTTCCCAAAAAATAGAAAGCTAATCTAGAAACGAAATGAGCAATTATTGATCCAATGCTAGCAACGCTTTTCTAGTCCCAAAATGGGAAATACAAAATGCAAAGCTAAAATTGAAGGACCACTCTACAAAACTAACATATAAAAGCATCATTTCCCAAAAAATAGAAAGCTAATCTAGAAACGAAATGAGCAATTATTGATCCAATGCTAGCAACGCTTTTCTAGTCCCAAAATGGGAAATACAAAATGCAAAGCTAAAATTGAAGGACCACTCTACAAAACTAACATATAAAAGCATCATTTCCCAAAAAATAGAAAGCTAATCTAGAAACGAAATGAGCAATTATTGATCCAATGCTAGCAACGCTTTTCTAGTCCCAAAATGGGAAATACAAAATGCAAAGCTAAAATTGAAGGACCACTCTACAAAACTAACATATAAAAGCATCATTTCCCAAAAAATAGAAAGCTAATCTAGAAACGAAATGAGCAATTATTGATCCAATGCTAGCAACGCTTTTCTAGTCCCAAAATGGGAAATACAAAATGCAAAGCTAAAATTGAAGGACCACTCTACAAAACTAACATATAAAAGCATCATTTCCCAAAAAATAGAAAGCTAATCTAGAAACGAAATGAGCAATTATTGATCCAATGCTAGCAACGCTTTTCTAGTCCCAAAATGGGAAATACAAAATGCAAAGCTAAAATTGAAGGACCACTCTACAAAACTAACATATAAAAGCATCATTTCCCAAAAAATAGAAAGCTAATCTAGAAACGAAATGAGCAATTATTGATCCAATGCTAGCAACGCTTTTCTAGTCCCAAAATGGGAAATACAAAAAACAAAGCTAAAATTGAAGGACCACTCTACAAAACTAACATATAAAAGCATCATTTCCCAAAAAATAGAAAGCTAATCTAGAAACGAAATGAGCAATTATTGATCCAATGCTAGCAACGCTTTTCTAGTCCCAAAATGGGAAATACAAAAAACAAAGCTAAAATTGAAGGACCACTCTACAAAACTAACATAAAAGCTTTCCCAAAAATAGAAAGCTAATCAAGAAACAGCCAAGAGTAACTATTTTTATCCAATGCTAGCAACAATTTTCTGTCCACTTAAGTATTTTCATTTATTTCTTTACAAGCAATAAATTCTGAGGCACCATTCAAAAAGATGCCTGAGATCATGTGGTGTATGTTGTTTGTTAATGACATAGCTTTAGTTGTCCAAACTACAGGTGAATTTAATGTCAGAATTGTGTGAGAATTATAATCTAAAAGTTTTGTATCAAGTAGAACTAAGAGTGCCAGAAGTACAAATTTACAAAACTACAAATAAGAAGGAAATTGCACTTAAAGAAAAATAATTGTAAAAGAGAGAAGCTTATACAGGCAGCAGCCTGGTTCAAAATTGCACACCAGATAATTGATTCAGTATCTGTAAACATGTAAATGGGCACTCCAGAACTTCATGCATGATTTTATGTCCCCAGTGAAAAATAAGGTATGGTGCAGGTTCTCTAAATCAAAGTTTTATTAGTCTCCACAAAGTCACTCTGCACAAATCTTCCCATAGCAATCAGTTTGAAAATAGATCCAGACCAACCCTCTTGTCGTTTCTACCATGGTGCTCATCGTGTCTGTACCCATTTTGTTATCATTATGCCTAAAATGTCAGTTGAGGTTTGGCTTAGTGTTTTAAAAGGCTCTAGGCGTACCGAGAATGAGGATGTTTGGTGGATGTAGCATTGCATAAAAACCTAAGCCATAAATCTAAACAAAGCCATGTTTAAACTAGCAGCTTGTTTCGAGCTCAAAAAGATCGAAACACTTGCAGAATAGTAGAAGAGTGAATCTAACAGGAACTAACCTTGTTATACACCCCTATGTATGGAAGAAGCCATCCAAACCCGTCTAGGAGCATGCTGTAACTGCAGATTTTCAATGCTTCTCTTGTCTTTGTTGGACAAGTCAAATGCTTCTGCTGTTGCATGAGAAAGAATAGTCACCAAAAATAAGTTTTGACCAAACATAGCTTCTTCTACAACTGTATAATATCATAATTAACAAGAAACAAAACCAAAATAACATTTTAATATTACCCATTTGAGTTAAAAGGTATTGCAAGTTCCCATGAAAGTAATGTTATCACTGGCAAATAATGGTCAACATATTGATTCAAGGGAAACATACCAGAAACTAATTTATGTCATGGACAAAACATGGAGTCAACCTACAAACATTTATTAAAAGAGTTTCATAGTCTGAATAAATAGGAATACCATATTTCAAGTCATCAGAAAAGTTAATGATAGATGGGGGAGCTTGCAGCAGCTGGAATCGAATTGCCTGCGTAGTGCTCTGTGCAATTAAAAAAAAAAGAATCAGCAAACACTATGATGTCTCTATTAGAAGGCATTTTCTTACTAATACTTCAAAGTCTGCTTTGCAATTACAAGGTTAGGTTGGGCTAGTCCTAATTTAAATGACCCCAAATCACAAATCAAGGCCAATGACACCAAACACTATGAGGTCTCTATCAAATTTGGAACCAAGAAAAGCAAATTAATGCATGTTTGTCATGCTCTTTCGGGATATACCAGTCAAGGAAAACATTATGTGATTTCCATGTACATTGATTTTTAGTCAGGCATATTATCAAACAAATGGTATGCCTAATTTGATAAATACACTAACAAACACGGAAAGCATACAAATCAGTTCAACACTTCCGTAGAAGACAGAAAAGCGAAAGACAAGAATTTTACATACCTTCTTGTCCGGATTCGCAGCACATCAGTGACCAACATGAAAACACAAAAGTGAATGGAATTACAAATAGCAACAGAACATAGAGAAAAAGGGGCACAAAACACAAGCAAATGAAGAACAAACGTATGGGTTGAGTGTGCCTGTTGTTGAAAGAGTGAGCTGTGAGTTTGATACACTGTGGGTTGAGTGTTGAGAGCATATATGGAGTGAAATTACGTTAATTTTGTGTGTTATTTTGCAGGTGCAGTTGGATTTGAGGATTGTGAGGATTACTAAAATGTGGGTTGAGTGGTGTGAGACCATATATCTGCAGGTTTATACTAATTTTATCTTTTGCCTGTCTATGTGTATCTTCTATTGCAGGCCCAAGATGGAGCATTGTTAGTTTGAGTGTTATATGGTTCGTAAAAGTGGGTTGAGTGTAGTGAGACCAAAATTGTGTGTAGATTCCCCAAGTACCTGCTTTTCTTGATGGGTGTGAGGCACATTTGTGGGTTGAGTGACTCAGGAATTCATTGTGTGGTGAGATTTGGTTATGCAGGTTTTGTATTATCTGGATATGATGCCTACTTATGTGGAGTGTCACACTCAGGTTTGCTAAAATCAATGGTGATAGAGGGGAGTCTGCAGACATAAAGACCAGGCTGCATGTTGTGCCAGTCAAGTGCTCTCTCCTCATGGGATATTGTTGTATTTCTTTATGTAGAATGGAGCTGTTTACTGTTTCTATGTTGGTGCCTCAAATATGGAATTGGTTAGGCTACACTCTGGCGGTCTGTCGACACATTCTGCTGGAGTGTGATGTGATCTGCTGTGTAAATCTATCCAAGTGCCGTGCCTGCCTGCTTTGTTAACAGATGACAAAACTTGTATCCATTGATTAATCAAAAGAAGTACAAATATATAAGCAATAGAATGAAACCCTAATAACCTAAAGTACTAAACTATCCTTAATGAATAATATAAACTACATAATTCACACCCCCTTCAAACTAAGGATGCGAGCGCAGAAAGCATCGAAAGTTTGCCAAGAAGAAAATGAAAACGAGTAACAATATGAGTCTTCATAAAAAAATCGGCCAACTGAAGAGATAAGGGAACAAAAGGGAGAGTAATATTGCCAGCCTGAAGATGTTGTCTGACAAAGTGACAATCTATTTCAACATGCTTGGTCCGCTCATGAAAGACGGAATTATGGGCAATCTGGACAGCACTCTGATTATCACAATACAACGGAGTCGAATCAGAAAGATAGACACCTATATCAGAAAGAAGCCAGCAAAGCCAAACGATATCAGAAGTAGCATGAGCCATGGCACGATACTCAACTTCAGCAGTGGAACGAGCAACGACAGACTGTTTCTTACTCTTCCAGGATACGAGGGAATCGCCAAGGAAAACACAAAGATCAGAAGTGGATTTGAGATCAGAGATGTCACCTGCCTAATCAACGTCAGCATAGGCACGGAGAGTCAAGTCCGAAGAGGCAGATAACAGTAAACATTGCAACAAAGTGCCACGAAGGTAGCGCAAAGTACGAAGTAAGGCAGCCTAGTGTGTGGAACGAGGAGCAGAAACAAACTGACTGAGAATGTGCACAGCATAGGAGATATCCGGACGAGTAACGGTGAGATAAACAAGGCATCCAACCAACTCGCGATACAAAGTGGGATCCTCAAGAGGAACGCCATCAGAAGCAGAAAACTTAGCATGCAACTCAAGAGGAGTGTCAACAATTTTCTCATCAGTGAGATTGACACGAGAAAGAATATCACGGGCATGTTTAGTCTGAGAGAGAAGATACCCAGTAGGAGAAGTAGCAACCTCAATACCAAGAAAATACCGAAGAAATCCCAAATCCTTCATCTCGAACTCCTAAAACAACTGATGCTTAACCTCCTTAATAGTACTATAATCAGAGCCAGTGATGATCATATCATCCACATATAAGAGAAGGAGAACAAGCCCAACAGAAGTGCGCCGAACAAAGAGAGCACAATCATGATGACTAGGGCGAAAACCAAGCTGAAGGGCAACAGAGTGAAATCGCTCATACCAAGCACGAGGAGACTGCTTGAGACCAATAGAGCACGGCGAAGACGACAAATAACACCAGGAGGGTGAGAGAGACCCGGTGGAGGGCACGTATATACTTCTTCAGCAAGATGCCCATTCAGAAAAGCATTTTTGACATCTAGTTGAAACAGGGGCCAATGATGGGCAACGGCAACAGAAATAAGAGTACGAACAGTAGTCATCTTGGCAACGGGGGCAAAAGTCTCATCGTAATCAATCCCATACTCCTGAGAAAAGCCTTGGGCAACTAGACGAGCTTTGTACCGTTCCAAAGGCCCATCAGAAAGGGTTTTGACCTTATAGACCAATTTACAGCCTACAGCATTTTTATCAGCAGGTAATGGAACCAAATCCCAAGTCTAAGTGTTAGCCAAAGCAGTTAACTCATCATTCATGACGGCAATCCAATTGGGATCATGACAAGCTTCCTTGTAAGACCTGGGCTCAAAATATGTATGAAGACAAGAAAGAAAAGACTGATAGGAAAGGGAAAAACATGTATTACCAAAACCATACCAGTTCGGAGGATGACGATCTCGCTTTGGGAAGCGATGTACAGGAGGAGCGGGATCCAAAGAAACAGCTGGAGGGACAGTAGAGCTAGAGACGGCTGAGCTAGGAAGTGCTTTGCGGCGTTGATAAACAATAAGAGGAGAAGTGCTAATAAGAGGCAAAGTAGAGACCTCAAGGTCAAAAACAAACTCATCAGGAGAAACATTAGGAGGAAATGGGTCAACATGAACCAATTCATCCTTAGTAATAGGAACAGGGGTGGAAGGTATAGTGTAGTAGGGTAGTTTTTCTAAAAAAGTGACATGCCTAGACACATATAGCTTTTTGGTGACAGGATCATAGCACCGATAACCTTTCTGATTAATGCCATACCCTAAAAAGACACATAGCACACAACGAGAACTAAGCTTAGAGCGCGCCCATTTAGGCAGGAGCACAAAGCATGCAGAACCAAAAATACGAAGAGAATAATTGAGAGTAACACCAAAAAGACGCTCATACGGAGATGAGCCTGAGAGAAGAGGAGTAGGCATCCGATTGAGAAGATATGCAGCAGTGAGCATAGCTTCTCCCCAGAAAACAGAAGGGACAAAAGATAAGAGCAACAAAGAGCGAGCTGTATCAAGGAGATGGCGATGTTTGCGCTCAGCTCGACCATTTTGTGCAGGAGTGTCAGAACACGAAGACTGATGAATAGTTCCATGAATAGCTAAATACTCCTCAAATTCAGACAAGTAATACTCACCCCCCAAATCAGAACGAAGAATTTTAATGGTGGTAGAAAACTGAGTGCGAATCATGGAGTGAAAATTAGAATATATTTTGTAAAAATCAGATTTTCGAGTCATTAAATAAACCCAAGTAAACCGACTGTAATCATCCACAAAAAGCTACATAATATTGCGAACCACCCTTGGTAACTATAGGGGAAGGACCCCAAACATCAGTATGGACCAATTGAAAAAAAGAAAATGAAATAGAACTACTTTTATTAAAAGGAAGAGCAGACATTTTAGCCAATTTACAACCACGACACTCAGAAATATCACTAATGGGAAAATTGCCTAAATGTCCAGACCTAACTAACATCCTCAACCGATCACTCGACAGATGACCTAACCTAGAATGCCAAATATAAAAGAAAGAGGACTTATTGTTTAAATAAAAAGATGACAGTGTAGTAGAAGACACTTCTAGAGGAACATGTAAGCTGTCCAAGATATATAGTTCTCCAACTCTACGCCCGATCCCAATCTGCTTCTTGGATACCCGGTCCTGTACAACACAATGGGAAGAAGAGAAAATAACTTCAAAACCGGAATCAGATAATTGACTAATAGAAATAAGACTGAGTGAGAGGTTAGGCACATAAAATACAGGAGAAAGAGACAAATGGGAACAAGAAATAGAACCAACAGAGTGTACAGGCATAAAAGAACCATTAGCAGTAGCAATAGTGATAGAAGAAGAAGGAGAGACACAATTACTGAGGAGAGATGCAACCGGGGTCATATGATGTGAACAACCAGAATCAAAGATCCACGAAGTATGGATATTACCTGAAGAGGATGAACCAGACAAACCGAACTGAGTGGTAGTCATAGCGAAGGCTTGGGACGAAAGATTTGGATTGGCCACCATGAAAGACTTGAACTGCTCAAGTATAGACTGCATATTGGAAGATGGATCATTCTCAGAAACTGGTGCAGAAAAGGCGGCAGATGAGCGAGATCCTGAAAATGTCGGCTTAGCGAATGGTGAACCAGATGAACGACCCTTGGGCTGCAAAAGTTTAGGACATGCATGTTTCCAATGGCCTTTCTGATGACAGAAGCTGCACTCATCCATGGAAACCCGAGGCTTGGGCTTACCAGTAACTTGAAATAAATGAGAAGATGGGGCGGGCAAGAGCGGAGGAGTGGCAAAAACTAACTGGGAAGCAGGAGTACCATGAGCCACCTTAAACCGAGTTTCTTCCGCAATAAGCTCACGGACAGCACCATCCACAGAAGGCAAGGGAGACCGATGAAGAATAGCTCCCCGAAGTGGCTCAAATTGATCACGAAGGGCCATGAGAAATTAAACAAGATGTTGTTTCTCCCGATACTTGATATAACTGTCAAGTAACTGCAAATCGGACGGTTCCATCAAAGCAAGCTGATCCCAATAAGTAGTCATCTCATTGTAGAACTCTTGAATGGACTTGTCTTTCTGACTAGCACTGCGAATAGACATCTCAAGTTCATACTGTTTTGCAAAGTTAGACTCAAGGTACATAGTCTTCAAATAGTCCCAAACTTATTTAGAAGTAGAATTCTTGGAAAAATTCATACCAATGGTAGTTTGAACTGAATTATGAAACCAAGTAAGAATTTGTGCATTTTCCTTATCCCATTTAGCAACATCAACCACAGTTCTTGAGATTCCACAGGTCTAATAGTTATACCAATAACATAATTCCACATACCTTTACCCATTATAAAATTTTTCATCACATGAGACCAATAAGAATAATTGGTACCATCTAATTTACTAGTAATAGCTTGCAATTTAT